AAAAAAAAAAAAGGAAGAGGGATGATGACAATAAATATTCACTTAACCAAAAATCCAATCCCACTGCCATAGAATAGGTTACAACTCATAGTGATGCTATAGGACAGAATAGAATTGCCCCAAAGCATTTTGAATCTGTAAATATTTATAGAAACTACATTTTTCTTTCATGGAGCAGTTGGTGGGTTGAACTGTCTGTCAACTTTTCAGCTGGTACTTGAGCACTTAACCACTCTGCCACCAGGGCTCCTTATTTATATAAAATGGGAATGATAATGATAAAAATAACATACTATGATAAACATTTCTCACTTGTTATCATATTTAAACCTCCCAAGAACCTTATTAGGGAAATCTCTGTCATTTCCTGGTTCATATTTCTTAAAAAACAAAGGTGTTGTTAATGTTGATCTTGCATTTTTTAAAGTGCTTTACACTAATTCGTGTAATTGGTACAGTATCTCTAAATAATAAATATTATTTCTTCCATTTTGAATATGAGGAAACTAAGCACGTAGCTGGTAATATTCCAAAGTTCCACAATAGGCAACATTCTGAGAACTTTATTGTCGACTAAAAGAATTATCTTCATAGAGATCCTTAGGGTGAAGAGCTAAACTCTTTACTTAGGCATCTCACTTGTCAGAGAAATTAATCCAGTATCATATTAAGTGAACAATTCAACGCATTCAGTCTGTATTGAGGGGACCTTTGAAGATTCGGCCTTTCCTTAAAATAAGTAGGTGTGGCTTCTGACCAAATGCACCTAAGATACAGCTCCCATCTAACTACTAGCAGAGGCTTGCTTATTGCCACCATGCTGAACAGATTTCAGTGGAACTTCCATACTACGGTAGAGTAGGACAAAAGGCCTAGTGAGTCACTTTCAAAATCTTATTCAATGAAAGAGAATGTAAAATATACAATTGTACATGGGATGACTATGAGTTGGGAGCCAAGTCAGTGATAGATAAAAACAAAAATTATATTCAGAAATGCACTGCTCACTTATTATGCATTTTGCAAAGAAGTACAGTATTTCGCATGTTGGTGTCATAAAATCCTTACTCTGATGATTCGTGTGGGTCAGATAATGAATCTAGAGTCCTACAAAACTTCAATGTCCCTTGTTCTGTTCAAAGAAATGCCTGCCAAATCTCCTATTTGGCATAAAGCATTTAATTTGATAGTATCAAGCTGTTTGTATTAGGTTTAATATCCTAGAAAATATCCCAATATAATGGAAACATTAAAAACTCTAGTAGTTGCCAGGGTTTTAATTACTAAATATAATTATGACTTTATGGTTTCTAATCAGGTTAAAATATTTGAAGACACTTCATTTTTCCCATAAAAATACCCTGATGTATATGCTCTATATTTAAGAATGAGTTCCTATTTTATAAGAACTTGATCATTTAATTAGTAAGCATTCATTAAGTATTCTCTTGATGTTAGGCATTAAGTGACAGATACACAAATAACAAAGGTGCATTTCTTACTGTTGTGATCACTGTCACATACGCAACCAAATAAATAATGTGACTACTTTCATCATACAGGTAAATGCTAAATGCCAAGATGTGACAGAGAAATTTAACTACAAACTTCACTGCCGTCAAGTTGACTCTGACCCTCTATGACAGAGCAGAACTGCTCCTTTGCATTTCCAAGGCTGTAAAAGTATCATCTTTCTCCTGAGGAGCACTTGCAACCCACTACACACCAGCCGGGCTCACAAAGAAGGAGGGGGTTTTGTTCTGTTGAGAGCTTGTAAAAATGTCAAGAATAATTTCAAAATTTGGTGGTAAGTAAACTGGTCTTGAAGGATAGATACATAAGAGATTTATCAAACAGGTAAAGGCTTTGGTGTCAATTGAAGGTCACACAGTAACTCTGTAAGACAAGGCAGAACTGCCCCAGTGAGTTTCTGAAACTGTAACTCTTTTCAAAAGTAGAAACCCATCTCTCTCCCTCTGGTGGCTAGGAGTTTCAAACTGTTGACCAGGCAGTTAGCCCAACTAATGACCACTACATTCCAGGGTTTATGGTAAGAGGAAAGGGGATGGGAAAAAATAAGGCTAATAGAGTTATGCAGGGCCTCATATACCATTCTAAGCATTTTGACATTACTTCCGAAAATGATGGGAAAATATGGGCATTTTTAAAAAGGTAAGACATATGTAGGAGCAGTACATAAAGTTAAGGAAAGGTTTGACAAGTAGTTCAGATAGAGCAATCTTGGTGGGTCTCTGATTAACAATTTGCAATGAGGCCTTTGTTCCTGACAGTGTTTTCACCACCTTGGAAGACAGGCGTCTCCCTCCAGGACAAAGGACAGATTTTCTACCGACAGTAATAAATCGGGGTTCCTTATGCTCAGCGCCCCTTTCCTGTAACAGCTTACTGCGCACCAGCTGTCATTTGGCACCCTGAACAATGCCCTGTGAGAACTAGGACTCAGGCACAAACAATGCATGTCTACTTTGTCTGCTGCTATTCCTGTTCATTTTTATTTACTGTCTAATAATTACTGTAATACTTCAACATGTGCATAGTACCAATATAAAAGTACATGATCATACTTTTATTTTCAAAATTTATCACAATGCAGTTTAATAGTACCAAGTCAAGAATTCCTTGACATTGCCAAATGTCAAGAATTCGTACACAATGTCAAATGTAGACCACAAAAAAAGACTAGAGAAGTGGACTGGAGGCAATACCTGGGAACAAAAACGGGGCTCTTGAGAACTAATCGTACAACAAAAATGAGTATGTACTTAATATACACCCTTTAGAGGCCCTAACCCTATTTTGATGGAATAATATTCTGCTTTGAATTTTTTTTCATTGATAGCATGAATTGTCAGTAATAGAAAGCATGTTGAAGTCAAAGGGAACAATTTTTTGTTTTTGAGGATTTATAGATTTTTATACAATTATATGGGTCACATATGTCCCAAATAGACTCTCCTTGTAGAATTGGAATAAGGCCTGTTTCTTCAGATTTATCAGTCATTCATTTATACACGTCTCCACCAGGTGGCAACATCTACTACAACTGAGATAGCCACTCGCCAGAGGTCTACCAAACCAAACTAATTAAACTTCACTGCTAACAAGTTAATTCTTATTCTTAGAGATCCTGTGAAACAGAGCCGAACTGCCCCTGGGAGGAGGGGTGGGGGTGGTGGTGGGGGTGGTGAAAGCTGTGGTTAGCAGCCTGACAAGTAACTCACTATGCCACCAGAAAGACACCTTACTGGGACACTTAAAAAGCTGAACATGGTGGAAATTAAAGAAGGGGATTTCAAAAACATTGTGGGACATCCCTATTATCTTGCATTCTATTTTTCCCAGAAATTTTTAAGCCCCTTTTTATGTTCCTTGAGTCACAAATGGGCTAAGCAGTGAATATCCTTAACCTAAATAAAATGCCCTGCTCTGGCTACTTCTCACTGAGAGAGAGATTTCAAGACTAAACATCACTGGACTTAGTCCTGCAATAGTTAAAAACTAAAAATATCAAATAGAAAGCCCATTACAAAATTACTGTAACAATAATTTATGTGATCATTTTAGTTATACTTAACTCAGTTGCCTTTAAAATTTGATCATATATCTTACCAAGCAATTCATATAGAGAATTTAAAATTGATTTCCAAGATTCTCCAGCTTCTCTCCCAGCAGCATCAGCAAAGTGAGCAGCACTACTATAGATGTGCAGCCGGTCTATGCACTCAAGAACAAGATTGATCATTCCCTGGAAGGAAAAAAAAACTCACCATCAGAAACTAGGATTCTGTTCAAAATCAGGGGTGAGGGGCTGAGGGGGTGGGGGAGACTGGAATATGTGGAGATTACCAAAAATAAGTTTGATTTTAATCAACACTCTGTTAATCATAAAGAAAACCCTTAGTCTATTCAAAGGACTGGGGGTGGGAAGAGCAGTGGGTGGGACAAATAATTTACTCATCAGAGAAAATGTTCTTCAAATAATTTGCATTGATTTTAAATCCTGAAAGCCATTCTCAACTCTATAAAACGTCAAACACAAACCATACACGCGGCCTCATCAAGTTAATTCCAACTCAGAAGGTCCTACAGGTCAGAGTAAAGTTGCTCCTTTGGGTTTCTAAGGCCATAAATCTTTACAGGAACAAACAGCCTCATCTTTCTCCATAGGAATGGCTAGTGGGTTTGAACTCAGGTGTAGTTAGCAGCCCAATGTGTAATCCATTACATCACCAGGGCTCCTTAAGCAGGAGCTTCTGAACATCATAAAAATACATGCTTCATATTTACTTGCAAAGGTTAGTACTCTATGAAATGAGTCAGCCATAATGGTATTCCATATGAAGCAAGGTAATAGATTCTATTCTGAGGATAGGCAGTATTCATGGTAATAAATTGAAGATATTGTAAATTAAATTAAAAAGAGTTCAAGAAAGTTTAAAGAAAATTTAATGCTCATCCATTATATAACTCTTAAAGTTTAAATTATTATTGCTAGAATAATGTTATGTTAGGCAAATTACATGAAAGGGAAAAATATAAAAAGTTAACTACACAAAGTAACTTGTTTGACACAGAAAAAGTTTAAAGCACCATGAGCCTAACGATGTTTCTAGATTCATATCCAGACTGACTTACATAAGAAAACAATAACTACCCAAGTCAATATTATAAATATTCACACCCCAATGTTTGATTTTATTTTTGCAGGTATTAAATAAATATAGTAAACCATCCAAGAAATCAACATATATGAAGAGAAAAGCTCACAATGAACTACCCAAGTTGTTATTGTTCGCTTATACTGATATGTCTCTTGTTTCATGTCAGTGAGGTCTACAGGTAGGTACTAATTTATTTGTCTACACAGTGAAAACATCCTCAGAAATCAATGTCCCAGTCAAAGGTCTCTGATGGAAAATTAAAAAACAACATTGAAGTTAGAAGCGTCCTTGAGTAGTGTCCATAGTTAACACTCTGCATTAATCTCCTGGTTGCCAAGGCAAGTGCACCCAGAGGTGGGTCAGAAGGAAAAAAGGCCTAGTGACCTACTTCTACAGGTTGAGCCCCCTGTGGAGCACGTATCGGGTCATGTAGTGCCAGTGGATTGTTGTTTTTAAGCTGTAACATATATTTAAGGAATGAGCACCCAGAAACGTCCTCTAAACTTTTTCTTGCCTACAGTGACAAATATATTTTGACTAAGGAATATTCATTACTGATAGTCAAGGAGCAATGAAAGGAATGGAACGTTTACTGTGCTACCCTGATTTGCCATCAGCCCTGACATATTCTTGCATTGAAACCCTTGTTCTGGCCCTGGTTCTGACACTGATTAGGGCATTAAGTACAGTGCATCTGGTACAGTGATTATACAATTGGGCACTAAGCTCTTTGGGGCACTAGACTTTTTGGAGAAGTAAAATTATGCATAGAATCTTAAAATCTGCAACAGAGTGGGGTTGCCCTGCAACTGCAGGGAAGCTGTAGTTCTGCCCTGAAGGATGGTACCCCCCTAGGCAGCTTCCATCACCAACACAGTGCTCTCAGGTGGATCCTAAGCATAGTTCAGAGTCCCAAAGAATTTGAAAAACAGTTTGAAAATTCACATGCTCTCTGCAACCTACCCTCAGTCGCCCCATTTAAGATTCTCTATTTACAGTATGTAGCCAACATGAAGTAGATGATGGAACTTAGAATTGACCAGTGGAGGACTGAGGATACAGTAGTATTAAATGTCCCTTGCCAAGGGAGGGAAACATGTCGATGAATAAAATTAATAAACTGTAAAAGAAAGTGAAAAAATTTAATCCAGACTTTATTTTTTCATATAGCAGCATACTGGCTCCTCTGTAAACCCAAATGTATAGGTAAGAAATTTTCCCCGTGGGGAAATTATGGCCTCAGAGAGAGTAGAAACAAATGGGAGCTGACAGGGACTCACCTCTTCCTGGAAAAGATTCTGGCGGTTTTTCAGAGCTCGAAGTCTATTCTGCTTGTCCTCATGTTCCAAGTGCTCATCTGGTGGGTGGAAGTAGCCAATCAGATCCTGCAGACTGAGACTTACAGACTCTATAGGCAGATCTACTGTGGGAGACTTCCCTTTCTTGCTGAGAGCATCAAGGCCTCTAAAACAAATGATGAACAATTCTCTGCATCAGTGATCCACTGTATTCATTTCATTACAATATTTAATGTTTTTGGATTGTGGCACAGTTGTACCTTACTCACCATATCACTGTAAAAGGAAAATATAAACAGCAATAATAAATTTATTTATACCAGAAGTTCTGAATTATATTATGTACAAACCATAATCAAATTTATTATTGTGAAGTCTACTTCTAGATCAGAGTAACCCCTCCTTTGTTACAGAGTAAAACAATTCTGTAGCATTTCCTCTCCTGCAACTTTTAGAGAGCAGGTTGCCAGGCTTTTCTTTTGTGGCTCTGCTGGGTGGGTTCAAACTATCAACCTTTAACCCATTACCAACCATTCCTGCCACCTAGAGGCCATTAATGATGTCATATATTTACGATGTTATATGAGAGCGCTTTGAAAAGTTTGGGGAATTTTTCATTCTCATGTAATGCAGTTTTCCCCAAAACTTTTTGAAAACTCTTTGTATTGTAAGCATTAATACAAAAAGTAATTTATCATTTACTTCTAAACTAATTACTTACGAATGTGTGATGAAATTGTTAACTCTTATATTATCCCAGGAGGATCATGGGTGTCGCAGTGGGTTATGTATTGTACCAAAACATTAGTAGTTCAAAATGAGCAGGTGCTCTACACAAAGATGAGGCTTTCTATTCCTGTAGAGAATTACAGTGTGAGAACCCACAGAGAAGTTCTGTGCTGTCCTATGGGATTGCCACGAGCAGAATTGATTCCATGGCATTGAGTTTGGTTTGGGTTGTTAGGCCATTCTGTTTACTTCTTACTGGCTTTAAGATACATTCCAAATATGCTAGCTTAGAAAAGTTGCTTATTAATCAGTAATAGGTCAGATCCTTTTTTGTTACCTGAAAGAAATACATTTAAAATCTAGACTAAGAGAAACATCATAAAGCATAGTTCAGGCTTTGAAGAAAAACACATTGTTGGCATGTTCATTTGTCAAACATAATTCATATTCTGAGTGTTAAAAACCACAACTATCATTGCCTGGGAAAAACATTAAAACACTGAATATGAAAATCTAAATTATTAAAAAATAAAAATTACATAAAACAAGGCTTCTGGTTTAGAATGACTGGCTAGACAGAAGCACTATTTTTAAAAAAAACCCACAATAACACAATAAATGTTTTTTTCCAGTGCATATGGAACATTCCCTAGAATAGACAATATGGAGGTTACAAAACAAGCCTTTATAAACTACAAAACTCCAAGATATTACAAATAATTTTCCCAGACCATGATGCAATAAAATTAGAATTCAACAAGAAGAAGATAAAGAAACAAGAATAGACAGAAACAGAACAATACCCAGATTAAGAGGAGATCTCATCGCAGCAGGGCCAGTTTTTCAATATGAGGGGGAGAGGGAAAAGACTGTGCAGTTGCTGCCATCCAAAATTGTGCTGAGGTCTCCGTAAATTAACAGGCACTCCTAGCAAAGGGATAAGCGAACCGTACTGGAAATTCAAGTCAGGACGGGAAAAGGGGCATGCGTGGTTCGAAGAAGGCAAGTTACATGTCCGTTGGTAAGAAGAGGGGAGGAACAATTTCTCATTGGGAGGAAATTCTTAACAATCCTTATACAGAATCCAAAGAAAGAAAATGCCTGGTTCTATCTTCCTAAATGAATATTCTTGAACTGCCTTCTATCCAGCCTTCTGTGATGCAGGCCATTTCAAAGTACACAATATTCAGGCCACATCAGAAGGATTTAATGTGAAAACTTCACTTAGTGAACTGAGTTTTACCTCAAACTCACCTGTACCCTGGGACTTATGGATAAAAGTTCCTAGTATGAAAAAAAGAAAATGACTTTTTATCCCCAGTATATAGAACTGGTGGTCATTGAACTTGGTTCAGATCTCTTGTCCTGAGAGTGTACAATGGAATGGGGGAGGGGGGGAGGGCTGGGACTGTTAAAATACTTACTATAGTTTAATGCCCTCTTTGCTTTATTATGCCATGCATTAATCTGGTAAGCATGGGTCTGCCCCTGACAATGAAAATTATCGAGTTTTGTTCTATCACCAATCCCCATTGTTTGTGCAAATAGTGTCCAGTCACTTAAGAGTTTAATGTGTAAAAGTCAACAATTCATGTACTGTGGTTCATAGCTGGCCTATACTAGTATAATTTTTTCTTACTACTGTTTTCAATTCCAGAGCATAGGGTAAATTAATGGCACCATCAATAGGATTTTTGTAAAGCTGAGGTTTTCCCCTCTTTTACTTTGTTATTTTATTTTTTAATATGTTTCTCTGAATATGAAGTCCAGGATGGGTTCATCTATAGAGACAGTAGTAACAAGATGAATGATTTCTTGGGCATGGCAGGGGAGGTGGGGAGGGAAGCTAATAACAATGAGTACAAGAAAGATGCAAACATTCTAAAATTGATTGTGGTGACGTTATAACTTTTTTTTTAAATAATCATTTTATTAATATATAACTATTCTTGATATGATTAAACTATTTAATTTTATAACATGTGGACTATGCTCCAATAAAACAGATTAAAAAAAGCTACTGGGTAATTGGAAAAATAAGGAATGAAATTTTTTGTTTTGTTTTGTTTTTTAATCATTGTATTCGGGGCTCATACAGCTGTTATTACAATCCATACATACATCAATTGTGTAAAGCACATTTGTACATTCATTGCCCTCATCATTCTCAAAACATTTCCTCGCCACTTAAGCCCTCGGCATC